CTATATCGATACATCGATCCCTGAAATATAATTTCCTTGTGCTTTCAGATACCCTGTATACTGAGAATATTCCTAGATCATCCTGAAGGATGTTGTCGAGAAGATTGTGAGGACGTCCTTAGAATATTCTGATGATACTGAGAATATTCTGAAAAATATTATGAAAACGTTCCTGGAACGTGAATTTTCGCCCCATCATTTGCATGTTCTCAGAATATTCTCAGAACGTTCAATGCACACCTTGTGAGAACATTCTGAGAATGGTCTGAATGTTCCACACTAATATTCTAAGAATGTTCTATGAATACGGTACCTTGAAAAAAATACTATTTTTCATAAAATTGTCCCAGGAACTAATACGTCGTTTAAATATTTTAGCGTACTTTTATGTTACACCCTGTACACAGGTTGATGTCTATGAAGGATAAGTAAATATCTGTGATTTTTTTTTTCAGAAATGTTTCCTTACATTCCACATACTTGTTATCTAGGTAGCCAGCTATGTAAAACTGTTGCTAGTGATTGTAATGAGTATCATCGGCTGCGAACATGCTGCTGTCAAAAATTCGCTTTTCTCAAATGTAAGTAAATCAAATCTTCATAATATATATTTCATAAGGCGCTCTTTACAACAATGAATACAGTGAAATTGTTTTCTGAGAAAGTCACGTTTATATCTTATTATAACCATATTCTATATAGTGGATGTCCATAAATATATTGATATTGTATATTGTTTAACGAGCACGAGAGAACGAAGTTTGCAGCATGAGCCGTAGGCCAATGCTGCAAATCTTACAAGTGGGAATTAGTATATTGTTTAACGAGCACGGAATGATAGTGATTTCCTACGAGAATGGAGTTTGCAGCATTCATGAGCCATAGGCGAATGCAATCATTTATACAAATACAAATACAAATATATTTATTAGTACTCGCAACAGCGGCCATACAACAGATGGATGTACACGTCATTTTTTTTTGCGAACAGTTTGATAAAAAATACATGTAGATACACAATGAATAGTAATAATACATAAATACAAAAAGAATTGTGAAAATGATACCTACACAAACATATTTAAATTTACTCTATTGAGTCGTCAAGGAACTCACTCACGGCATAATATGCCTTTCGTAAGAATATTTTTTTAATTTCTTTCTTGAATGAATTACGGTTCATGTTTTGTATGTTGATGGGGAGTTTGTTAAATAACTTTGCACCAACATATTCTGGACTTTTCTCAAATTTTGTCAGCCTGTGTTTTGATACACTTAATGAGCTAGCATTTCTTGTAGGGTAATTATGATAATAGGAGTTCTGTTTAAATTTATAGAAGTTTTCTTTCACGTATATGAGTACTTTATAGATATACACGCAAGGAAATGTCAATATCTCTTTCTGGATGAAGGTGGATTTACAACTATCTCCAAATTTCATATCAAACATGAGCCTTAGAATTCGTTTCTGGCTGATAAATATCCTTTCGGAATTGGTGCAGTCTCTCCATAAGATGACATTATAAGACATGTGGCTATATACAAGTGAATAGTATATATCAACAAGTACTTTTCTGTCCACAGCTTTTTTTAATTTCAGTATTGCGAAAAACCCACAATTGAGTTTTTTCAGAACATGTTGTATGTGATTATCCCATGTCATATTCTGGTCAAGATATAGACCTAAAAATTTAGTTGATTCTGAATGAATAACTTCTGTAGATGCTAAGCTAGGACTATTCTTCGTACATTTGAATTGGAGGTAAACTGTTTTTTCGACATTTAGTAAGAGGTTATTAGCACCGCACCATATTCTGAAGGAATTTGTCACATTTGTCATTGTAATTTTAAGTTCTTCCAGAGTGTTTTCTGAGACCACTACTGAAGAGTCATCCGCAAACATCGTGATCTGTCCATTGGTTACATGGTCAGGCATATCATTGACAAAAAGTATGAATAGTAGTGGTCCCAGCACCGACCCTTGTGGAACACCAATATCCATACAGTATTGTTCTGAAACTTCATTGTTTATTTGTACATACGCCTTCCTTTCAGTCAGATAGGACTCTAAGACATCGAGAATTTTTCCCCTTATTCCATTTCTATTAAGTTTTTCTAGGATGAATGATATTTTTAAACTGTCGAAGGCACAGGAAAGATCAAAGAAGATGCCACCTACGTATCTGCCGGCATCGATATTAGCATATACACTTTCCATGAATTCACATGCAGCACTCTCCGTTGATCTTCCGGTACGAAATCCATGTTGTCGAGGAGAAAGTATTTTGTTTGTATCGAGAAAGTCAACAATTCTTTCATGATACGCACGTTCAAAAATTTTGGAAATAACATTTAAAATTGTCACCTGCCTATAATTGTCTATAGAGGTGCGATCTCCTTTTTTAAATATGGGTATAACTTTACCTAATTTCAAGTTGGACGGAAAAACACCTGTTTCGAATGTCAAATTGATCAGGTATGCTAGGGGTTTTGCAATGACTTCTTTAAAAATTTTTATTATTTTTACGCTCATTTTATCATCGCCTACACTTTTTTTGTTCTTCAGATTGGATATGATGGAGAGTACTTCTTGCTCATGTACATTACGAAAGTAGAAGCTCTTGTCAATAGTTCTATTTGGTATAGTACATTCAGTTGACTGATTTTCACCAAATTTGTCATCCATCTTTTTTTTAGTACTGCTTGAGAAGTGGGAAGAAAAACATAGAGCAACGTCTTTTGGATGATAATGGTTTGCCTCATTCATTCTCAAATTAATAGTCTCATTCATCTTACTTTTACCAGTTTCCTTATTTACGATGTTCCATATAGTTTTTTGCTTGTTTTCGCTCTTTCTTATTGTTTCTGAATAAATTTTCTTTCTCTCCTTTACTAACAAGTTATTATAAGATTGTTTCTGTTTTCTATACAATTCCCACCGTTCCGGTTCATTTTTATTTTTAATCTTATTGAACATAGTTTTTAGATTTTTACCTTCTTTAATTATGTCTTCTGATACCCACTTCTTTTTATTTTTGTTAATAGTTTTTTTTCCTGATTTTAGGGGAGTAACAGATAACAGCGTCATTTTCGATTTCTTCGTCTTGTAGCCATTTGATTTCCTGTCAAATAATGCTCATCTATTAGACAGAGCTGGCATTGCTTGAAATTTGACATTCCATCAAAATTTTTTTTTTAGAACAAAGTACCTCATTGATGTATCGAACCCAGTAAAACAAGAGCAATTTTGTGTTATAGCCGTAGAAAACCAATTTTCTACACCACTGGTGGAATATTTATGTATTTATGTGACTACAAGAAATATCGTTCTCGTTTTTATATACATGTATTACACAAATATTCTAGCGTTCAAGGTCCCTACCACTTGATTGAGCAGCGATTTTTATTGTATTTTTATAATTATCTCATTTCAATGGTAAAATCAATTAGATTTTTTTCTTTTTCAGGGAAAGCCAAGTCTAGTGCTCCGATTGTGGTTGAAAATAAAATTGCAGCTTATTGTATTTTCTTTCTTATTTTAGGTTTCAGAATTTTTATATAAACTGACCAAAGAATTTATTGTAAATATTACTATTTGTTAAGTTTTGAGCAGGGCTTGCTAATAAAATGTAAAACAGTTATTGTTAATTTATTAATGAATCATTCACAATATATTTATCATTTTTTATACTGTATATATACCTATTATTGACACATATTCAAACATTTCCAAGTTTTGTTTCTCTCCATTCAAGTTCAATAAATCAATCAACTTCGTTAATTTTGTAGACCATACAAAGTATGAAACAAGTCACAATCACATTTTATATATAGGTACACTGTATACATATAAGAGTAAACACTAAACATACAATTTCAACAATAAAACGTTCGAAAAATTGAGAAAATAATAAAAATAGAGTCAGTGCTAGAAATCCATAAACAACTTCTCTATAGTTCTCTATAGTGTAATAACACTTTTCAAGCAGGTGCTGTTGTCTAAGAGATTTTCTGAACCTGATGAAGTATGTCCCTTGTTCTTTGATGATATTTGGAAGTTTATTATACAAGGTGATCCACGGTGGATGGCCAATTAGAAATATCTGGAGAACGAAAAGGCAGAAAATTCTGAAAATTGGGATGCTTTGATAATTAAACATTCTCTATCCGTCTAAAATATTTTCATCGATACAGTGTTGCCACTTATTCTATCAGAAACAACTAGCAACTTCGTTAATTTAAATAGTGCACCCTGTATTTTATTGCATTCTTAGATTTTTCCTGAAGAGCTGATTTCATCAATGCATCACACTTGGGGTCTAGCAGAAATGATTACAGAGATATAGGGTGTTCAAAATAGAGATTTTTCAATTTTAGGATTTTTTTGTGTCAGAACTATTTATTATCGATCAAAACGACTTGCATGTCCCAATCTTAACTTTCGATTCACTATCTACTGACATTTAATTGCAACAGATACAGGGTGATCAGAATTCTGAATCTTGAAGCACCCTGTATTTTTTCCAATTAAATTCCAGTAAATAGTGAATCAAAAGTTAATATAGGGACATGTAAGCCGTTTTGATCGATAATGAATAGTTTCAACACAACAAATCCTAGAATTGAAAAATCTCTATTTTGAACACCCTATATCTCTGTAATCATTCCTGCTAGACCCCAAGTGTGATGCATTAATGAAATCAGCTCTCCAGGAAGAATCTAAAAATGCAATAAAATACAGGGTGTTCTGTTTTAAATAAGGAAGTTGCTAGTTGTTTCTGATGGAAGTGGCAACACTGTATCGATGAAAATATTTTAGACAGATAGAGCATGTTCAATTATCGAAGCATCCCAATTTTCAGAAAGTGCTGTCTTTTTGTTCTCCAGATACAATAGGCCATCCACCGTGGATCACCCTGTATATTCTGATACCACTAGACATTGGACCATTCAGTTTGAGGTGTATATGAGTGGTGAGTAAGTTCATGCATACAACAAAAATGCCACAATTCTAAACATTTATTTCCAAAATAAAAAACTTCAATCACATCAATAAAGTATATTCAGACAGTTTAAGATGATGTCCTTGGTTTCAGTTCATCATAACATGGCCTCAAGAAAATATAATTCTTCTTCTGAGTGTTATAGAACTCATGCCCCTTACTCCAATCATAACTCACAGAATAAGCAAAAATCTGCCCATTGTGGTTGAAAGAGCATCTGGTGATTGGCTGTTCCATGAGCTCTGAGGGTTTCAATTTTGTCCTAGCATCCTTATCCCAGAAACTGAAAGAACCATCTGATCCAACAGTAGCCAAAGTACCATGGACAGGGTGGAAAGCAATGTCATTCACTGCATAAATGTCTTGGTAGCCATTCGGAGCACCATTAGAACGATGACATTTGAAAGTGAAGTTGTCTTTGGGATTTGTTGGGTTGACATATTGGATTGCCACTCTGCCTTCTACTGAACCTAAGGCATAACCTACTGGGGCTTTCTTCTTATCCCTAAAAAACAGATGAAATTGGTAGCTAATATCCAAATGAAATGTCCATAGATACAAACCAATGGAGTATGTTCTTTTAATCAAAGGAAAATTCAATAACCACCATCTACACTTGCAAAACAAATAATATAAAAATATCCACAGTAATGTTCACTTTTTCATATTAACTAATCAGTACTGTTCAATTAGAACTATAGAATATACAGGGATTTAATAGCAACAGTTATGCTATTTCCTAATAGAGATAGAGAGTTCATTAAATTAGATGAAAGTTGCATAAATTGCTAATGAAATGTAAACAGTTCTTGTTAATTTATTAATGATTTATTCACAATATATTTGATCTTTTTTATACTGTATACCTATTATTAACATAATTATCCATGAGTGATCAGAATTTTCAATTATTGAATAAATAATTTGATTGGATGTCTTCAATATATAATGATTTGCACTTTGGAAAAATGTCAACCATTCCTGAAATTTGTATTCATTTTCATGGTTAATATTGAAAGAAAAAGATTGAAATTTTGTGTAAGTAGGTAATTGATCATGACAAAGAAGATGAGATTGTCAGAAATATTCTATATCAATTATTTTCAGAGATTCACCATGTAACATGTGTTTATATTATGGGCGCCATATTTGTTTTTTATACCATTAAATAGAGATAAAAATTCCCTCCACAGCCATGTAAAACATGTTGACATCTTCACATTAAACTGAGCCGAAAAACAGTAAAAACTACAAGTATCAATACTTCTTCACAGCCATAAATAACATGCTACTTTATTATGCAAAAATGGGAAAAACTCACAGAAAAATCAAGAATAATTTTCATTAAATAATCAAGATAGATCAAGATATTATTGAAGGTTTTCATTAAGGGGTTAGACTTGGTCTTGACATGACTTTGAATTTGATTATTTGTTTAGGATAGAATTAACTATTTATCAATAATCATTGATTTGTTCTCATATTTTATGGGTTTGTTAATAAATTTGCTCATCTTCAGACATTGAATTTGATATCAAAATTTATTCTAGATACTTGGAAATCATCAGATATATGATTTTGAAGGCAAGTAGATTTTATGTAAACATATCTTGATTATTTAAAAATTATCTATCTTGGTTTTTCTGTGCCTTTTTCCTGAGCCTTTCCTCTTTTTTGCATAATAATTCTGTATTGTAGGGTGTTATACATGGCTATGAAAAAGTATTGATACTTGAAGCATAGATCTAAATATTAGATCTATGCTTGAAGTCATGATGACTTAAATTTTGTTTTCTTTTCATCATGGCCTACCACTTTTCAAACTCTTTCTACCGTTTTTTGTGGCTGTTTCATGTGAAAATGTCAACATGTGATACATGGCTATGAAGGAAATTTTAAGCTGTATTCAATGGTAAAAAAAAACAAATATGGCACCCATAAGTAGAGCACAAGTTGCATGGTGAATCTCTGAAAATAATGGAGAGACTATATCTAAGAATCTCATCTTCTTTGCCATGATTAATCACCTATTAACACAACATATCTTATTGTTTCCTCTAATACTAACCAAGAAAATGAATAACAACAAAATAAGTAATTTTCAATTTCTTCAAAATATTTCAGGACCAGTTGACATGTTTCCAAATTGCAAAACATCATATTGAAGAGTTTCACATTATGCAACTTTTTAATTTAATCAACTTCCAATTTATTCATTGAACCATCCAACCCTGTATATTAGCCAGTTGCAAATGTGACAAATCAACTAACTTGATGTTACTTACTTGAATATGGCAACACATCTATGCTGATATTTAAGAGGGCTATCCAACTTTTTGAACTCCTGTGGCTTCCCTTCTAACTGATAAACAATGATTTGTCTACCAGCAGTCCCAACAACAGCCATTGGGTAGTCCACATCAGCACAATAACAGCGTTCTGGCAATGAAATGCTCATCATGGGGTTGGGACTGCGTGTATCCCAAAATTTGAGGGTTTTATCCCAGGAGCCAGTCATAAGGCATGAATAGTTGGGAGCTTTGATCCAGTGGCAAGTTTTTATAGGAGCATCATGCACTGCCACCTGGACCACTTGATTGCTGGCCAAATCCCACATTTTTGCTTGTTTATCACAACCAGCCATAAACACCTTAACAAATTCTATTTTATTTTAAATAAATGCCAAGGAGCATATATTACCTTGGTTCCATCATCACTCCAAGCAACATCCATGACAGGTCCTCCACAAGACTGCATTGACTTGGGGATGCTAGTGCCGTTCTGTTCAATTTCCCAACATCTTACATTGTTGTCCCAACTTCCAGCTATGAGGAAATTTTGTGGAATTGTTGAAGGTGAAAATGCCAACGAACTTATTGAATCCTCAGGAGACTGCATAACTTCGAAATCCTTCATCGGATTAGCCGAATTCGGGGTTGTCGTGGAACCGAAGGTCCCAAGGGAGCTTTGGTTGAACATATTTCAACTTCTTTAATACAGGTGTGATTCAAAGACACAAATTTTGAGGAAACTCACAAACTCTCACAAAAAAATAAACATTTAAAAGAGAATATTATAGGTTATGATTCGATATTGATTTGTTTGAGATTTGATGAAAAAAATCTGGCTAACTGTTTTGGAGGCACCAGTTATTAATGTCTCAAGTCGCATCTGGCACAGTAGAGAGCTTACTGATGGAAGAGAAGAATCAGCTAGGTTGGTAACTAAAAAAGGAAGAGCATATTTTGACTTTGGCATATGTCATCTTTCTCTTATTAACAATGCTGCCAGCTGCCACAAACACCAAAAAAAAAACCACTGTCGCCCAATTCGCGCGCAAAATTCCCTCATTTTCATTCTTGCATCAGTACTTTAGTAGTTCATTTTTCTTTTATTGCCGGCTATAATTTTTTGTGCTTTGTTGTGCATAGCGTCAGTAATTTTATCAAAAATCAAGTTTTAATAAAAACCAAAATGTTCGAGGCACGTTTGATCAACAGTGTTACCTTCAAGAAGGTTTTGGATGCCATCAAAGATCTTCTCAATGAAGCCACCTTCGATTGTTCTGAATCCGGGATCCAGCTGCAGGCCATGGACAATTCTCACGTTTCTTTGGTATCGTTAACACTCAGGCATGATGGATTCGACAAGTACAGGTGCGACAGGAACCTTACAATGGGAATGAACTTGGCTAGGTAAGAAATATGACCTTTTATTTAAATTATCTTGATTACTCCATGAAACGGTTTTCTTGCAGTATGTCAAAGATCTTCAAATGCTCTAGCAATGATGACACAGTTACAATAAAGGCTCAAGATGATGCAGATACAGTTACATTCATGTTTGAAGCTAAGAAACAAGATAAAATATCAGATTATGAGATGAAACTCATGAATTTGGATCAGGAACACCTTGGAATCCCTGATACTGACTTTTCATGTATAATCAAAATGCCTTCAGGTGAATTTGCCAGGATTGTAAGGGATCTTTCACAGTTTGGAGAATCTATTGTTATATCCTGCACAAAGGAAGGTGTTAAATTCTCCACTTCAGGTGACATTGGTAGTGCTAATATCAAAATTGCCCAAACCAGCAACTTTGATAAAGAGGAGGAAAGTGTTACAATTGAAATGCAAGAACCTGTAACTCTAACCTTTGCTTGTCAGTATCTGGGCTCTTTCACAAAAGCTACTCCCCTCACTACACAAGTTCAACTTTCCATGTCAGATAATGTACCTCTGGTGGTAGAGTATCAGATTCCTGAAATGGGACATTTGCGCTACTATTTGGCCCCAAAGATTGAGGAGGATGAGAATTAGGAATGCATGAGTTATTTTATTTATAAGTGCCTAGATCTATCTGGTACTGCTGATATTTTTTTAATTTAGGATAATATAATTTAGTACACAGATGTAAAGAGTAAATGAGTAATTTCTAAGAACCTAATAGTAATAAATATAATTTTTATAATTGCTGTTTTTCTAAGCCAACTGAGAAAGCATAATACCTGCTGAAATATAAAATACATATTAATGGAATATGGCCTGAAGATAACTTTGGGGAATAAAATAATATGAACAAACATGTATGATTCAAATTTGTCTGGTATTTACATTTTATTGACCCAAATAACTTAATTCTTTACATTCACACTACTGACATATTATATATTCAATAATTCTTGTTCCATTCTTGCCTTTCCTCCCTTTCCTTAATAACTTCTTTCACAATGGGGGTGAGATACAACTTATCATCTTCAAGCTTTGTCCACTGATCTTTGGGAAGGATATCTTTGTTGCCCGACAATTGTACTGCCCTGAGGATACGGTAATTCCTCTCGTCCACGATATTTGCTGGGAGCCTTCTGATGGCCTCCTTCACGTCGTCGTCTTCATAAAGAATGTCATCTCTCCAAAGACCATATTTGTTGAATCCAGAGAGATTGTAGGCCCACCTTTGCAATGCGCTGGCCATGAAGCGTTTTTGGACAAAGCTGACCGCCATTTCGACTAATTTAATTCTATTAAAGTGAACACTTTCAATCCAAAAATTATTAGGTAATCAAATTGTTAATTTTTGGGAATTGAAAACCTGACAAGTGACTGAAGGGAATGAAAGGATATCACTGACAATGACAACTAAGAAGAGGTTATTGTGTTCTGTGATCAATGCCATGCGGTTGTTCCATGACAGATTTTTTCTGCTTCTCATTTGATTAATGATCATTGGCGTAGGTGGAGGTACACTAGGTACAGGAGTGTGCATAAACCAATGAACTCAATATAAACAACGCATGAACAGGCTTGTCAATCTTGATTCTTATCGACTTTGACAATTAGTGTCTAGTTCATTGTCTGCTAAATATGGAGAAAAAATTCAGTGAGCTGGAGTATCTGGTCTGCTCAAACAAGGAAAATCACCTACAGGGTTCTTTGGCCGATACAGTAGTACCGCCATACGGTCAACTCGAGGAAACACTTATTTCAATTGTTTTCCTTAAAAATCGTAAATGAGTTGAGTATGAGTTCAGCCTCCCTCAGCGGTGGCGGTAGTAGTAGGAGCACTACACAAAACTATATATATAAACATAAACGAAAGGAGTATTAGAACAATGATAATTGAAAAAGAATGATATTTTAGGGAAAAAATACGAAACAAGTCACGATGGCCGATGGCACGACAGCTCTTGACACTGACAACTTACATAACCACAAATTTCGAAAATTTTCTAGAAAAAAGTGAAGATCATTTCCTTCAATACGGTAATGCTGGGTTAATAGATTCAACTAAACTAAGAATTAAACTAACAACTATGAACTTGAAAAGTTGAATACATGGAAACATCTATGAGGGTTTATACATTTACATCTGTCAATTAAATTAAGAATTATGAATTACAAAGTTGGCCAACTTTCAACTTAACAACTAAGAATTAGGAAATTCTGGAGACAGAACATGAAGATGGGATTTGTTATTGTTCAAGTGGAGTGTGGTGATATTCAATTGGAGTATTTTTTATGGATTCATGAATTCTGGAGACCAAAATTACTTTTTAACATCATATTGATCTACAATCAAAGGACATTTCACATCTAATTTGTAATTATTATCAGATATGTATAAACACCCTCATGATAATTAATTGTTGATTGTTAATTGTTAATTCCTAATTGTTAGTTTAATTGAATCTATAAACCCAGCATAACATCCTCTACTGGTCATACACTCAACTGAGCTATAGGGAAGACCAGTAGCAAAAAAGCCAAAAAGAATAGTAGGTTAGTCACAACGTCACAACCCACTAGATTCTACACTCTACTCACTGCATTGAAAGTAAGCGCTTGCTCCCACATTTAGGAACACCCTTGCTTGATAGATATGTCTATGGAAATAATTGTACCTAGGGTCCCCTAATTGTACCTAATAGTTGTCTCAAATGTCAAATTCATATTTTTTCAGATTCAAATACTGTCTGTAACCTTAGATCATGTAATACATTGATTTGAACAGGACTCTAAAGATAGACCGCTCGAAGCAAAATTTTAAGAACGACGCTCTCAAATAAGTGCGTTCGTGGATAAAATTATTTATATATCTTGGAGGAAAGGTTCATTTCCTCCCATGTGTGTTTAACGGCCTATTGCCATCCGCTACGCGTCGCGCATCAAACTTCATATGCGGAGGAAATGGATATCTTTGCTCCCTTGATACATAAATAGCAATAATTGTCAGTAAGTCCTATAATCTTGTACATGTACAAGTTTTTAATGAAATCTGTAACATCATAGGCAGGTTTGCACCATACAAACATTAACAACTTTGTATGACTTGTTTAAGCACACAATTAATGGAGAAACACATCACCATAGAAAACCGGGATTTTCTATGCACATCACTCAAGAGTCTTGAGACTTAGGGCCTATTTATGCATCATTGTCCTAGTCTCATAGTCTTAGTCACACTTTTTGTTTTAATCATAAAATAAAGTTATGAGCATACATTTCAATAGGTGCATTCATGCAACATTTTCAGTCTCAGTCTTAATCATAATCATAATCGTTTTCTGTTTTTTCAATAAACCATATACTTAGTTATAGTTCTTGCTTGGGGATTTTTAATCAATTTCATACCTATTGAATCCCAATAATAATATATAGAGGTGAGAGGAAAAACAAGGATATAAATTATATTTTCATACTTTATTGGTATGCATACCTATTCATTATCAATAAATATAATTAGAAATTGGGAATATACCTACCTTCCACATCATATAAAAAAAGCAATCACAGCATTATTTGATATTTCAAAGACTTTTTAACATGTGATATCAGCAGTCTGCCATCATAACTCAGGGATGCAAAAACCCAAGGATCAGCTGGAGTCCATTCAGCACAATAAACACTATCTTCATGTTCACACCATTGTAAAGGTCCATCTTTCAATCTTTAGAAAAAAAAAAAAAAAAAGAAAATAATTACAGCTCTATGGATGATACATTCACTCACTTTTGTTTGGTTTCTAATTCTTCATTATCCTCACTAGCACAAGTTTCAAGAATATTTTCAGAACTGACACTAGCTGTACTAGTCAATAAAACTCTGGCATCAGAACTGGCTGTGAGAACCAACTGATCATGGAAATGATTGAATCTCACACACCATATCCTAAAAATAAACATCTAACAGTGCTGCTATAAGTACCTAGTCAAGTAGTTAACATCCAACATCAGAGATAATACTGAAGAGAGTGTTACTGACCAATGTGAATGATCACTTCTAGAGAACACTGGCATACTGGGTTGCCTAAAATCCCATATTTTAAGAAATGCATCATCCCCACAAGTTGCAAGGTGATATTGTTTATTCATATTGTAATCAATATCTCTTACTAACTGATTGTGAGCATTGTCTATGCTCCATGCTAAATCACCTGACCGAATATCATAGGATTTCAAGTGGGTCTCAGTTGCAGTTGTAAACTTAAAAAAATAGATACCTAAATAAGTTGTTTCAGATTGATAATGAATATAATAGAATTACCTGACTACAATTCTGATGTGGATTCCACTTGCCATTAGTGAACTTGGGACTATTTTTACCCTCCAGGGGAATATTCAAAATGTTCTTTCCCTCACTTCCAGAAATGTCCCAAAGAATCAGCTGAGTATCTGTCAAAGATACAGCTGTGTTTGTTTCAGTTGGGTGGAAGTCTGTGGTTTTAACATCACTTCCAAAAATGCTTGTGTCTAGTTTGGTGACAATTTCCAAATTTTCTATGGTGTCACTACTTTCAATTTCAGGCAGTGTCAGGATAGCAGTTTTCATGGAACAGCTGCTTTCACCTGTAACAGAATTGTAGCATGTGGCCAATTTGAGTGGATCTGTAGGACTAGTGTTGATTTTCCAGATTTCTCCTTCAGAATGATAAAATACCTGAAAAATTACAATCAATGATTCAAAACTGGATATGGTTTGACTTGTCTCACTGATGTTTCTACAATGGACGTTTCCTCATGGAATTCTATTACATGAATTTGATTGTTGGCCTGTTTCAAAGACTGGGTCCCAATCAAAAATTTAATTTTTTCTATTTCTGCTAGTTGAGGTGCCAGAGCTCTAGCCTAAAAAAACAATTATTTATAGGGAACAGCAAACTACCAATTAGTTCTTGTCAGGAGTTCTTTATTGTTATACCTGAAATTCTAGGCCATATATTACAGAATTTTCATTATCCATGTTCAAATATGATCAATAAATTCAGAAATTACAACCAAAACTCCAACTCCAAAACATAAACATCACTCCACTATCACAACCTCCATTCCAATCACAACTCACAACAGTCACAACACTCACAGTCTCAGTAAAACTGATAACTGGAGTCAGTATGGATAATGTCCTGTATGAAGATATTCCAGAACATTAGCACGTATATGATTAGCACAAATACAGAAGAACCCTACGTTCCTTGATAGCTAGTTGCTCATGCAACATTATTTCTTCTCCTTCTTTTTATTTTCGCAGTGAATTGTCTTAAAATTACAGAGCGAACCTTGCTTGAATTGCATTGGACCGTCACAAACCGTGGTAACATGTAACTGATGTGAAGTTTGGACTTCGCCTTGGAGGGGGGGTTTGATTTTTTAGGGCCTGTGGATCAAAGTCCATTTTTTGTTCTACTTCTACAGTTCTACAGCATAAATATTTATTTGGTTCGGTGCCTTTCCTTTAATCCTTTCAGTTCTTTTTGATTTTGGTTTAATAGATTTTGATAAGATTAAAATGGCCCTATATTCAGCAAGAAACCTTGTCAAAAGCCCTACTGCTCTAGGATTAATACAACTACAAATTAGTGAGTTTCTATCATTATTTGAACTTAAATAAAATTTATGTATAAAATTTGCACTGTGCAAAGTTCATTTCTAATGAGGAATTAATTGCAGATACGTTACGGGCCTTTTCTATTGGGACACAAGTGAGCCAGAAAAAAACTTTGGCCCCCAAAAATGGCCAGAATATTGTTTTAGTGGATGGAGTGAGAACCCCTTTTTTGATGTCTGGAACTGATTTTGCCAAATTGATGCCCCATGAATTGGCCAAACAAGCTCTGAGGTGAATAATTTTTTTCTCAAGATTCTACTGTTGACTGCATTATTGAAATTTCTTACAGTGGTATTTTGAAAAAGACAGGAGTATCTAAGGACCTTATTGATTACATTATTTATGGAACTGTAATCCAGGAAGTGAAAACTTCAAATATAGCTAGGGAAGCATCACTAGCTGCAGGCTATAATGATAAAACTCCATCTCACACTGTAACACTGGCTTGCATCTCTTCCAATGTTGCTATGACATCAGGTATTTTGGCTTCCATCCTTTCAAGTTTCACATTTTATATTTGATTTTTTTTTCTTCAGCTATTGGCTTGATCAATAGTGGAGTATATGATATGATAGTTTGTGGTGGAGTTGAAACCATGTCTGATGTCCCCATCAGACACAGCAAGAAGATGCGTAGTCTGATGTTGAGAGCAAACAAGGCTAAAACAATCCAACAAAAACTTTCAATGCTAGCCACCATCAGACCTGACTTCTTTGTCCCAGAACTCCCTGCTGTTGCTGAATATTCTTCTGGAGAGACAATGGGTCATTCAGCAGATAGGTACTATGATCACTCACACACAGGAATCAAATGAAACTAAAGATTGTTTGCATTTTAATGAATTTGATATGGAAATGATCTGTGCATTCCAGGTTGGCTGCTGCATTTGGGGCAAGCAGAAAAGAACAAGATGAATTTGCATTGAGGTCACACACTTGTGCCCAACAGGCATTTGAAAAGGGCTATTTCACTGATCTGATTCCTTTCCAAGTACCTGGAGTTGATAAGCCAGTGGACAGGGATAATGGAATTCGTGTTTCTACTCCAGAAAAAATGGCTTCACTGAAGCCAGCATTCATCAAGCCTCATGGGACTGTTACTGCTGCAAATTCATCTTTTTTGGTGAGTTTCCATTTGTCAATATATCTATTTCCTTTTATTTGTCCTCACTGCAAGTATATTACACTAGCCGACCCAGCAAACATTGTTTTCCATAAACATTATTTTTTATTAGTTTATTTTCTACTTCTTTTCAGTTTGGCTATCCATAAACCTTACTTTTTCAAATGATTCTATTTATTTTCTACTTCCTCTTAGTATGGTAGTACGGCTATCTATATATACATATACATTTATTTGGAGTAAATATTTTTTTAGTTTGGCTATCCATCAAACCATGTTTCTTTTCTTTTTCAAACTATACTATTTATTTTCTATGTCTTTTTAGTTTGGTCTTCAGTTTGGCTATCTATAAAAACGTGTTTCATTATAGTTTTCAAACTAAAATTCATTAAAAAGCTTGTTCGCCATATTGGATTCGCCATCTTGAATTTCAATTTTGAAGAAAACTTCATAATCTCTGACCTCAAAAACCCCCAGATACAAATTTTGTATGGAATAGGATCATAGTTATTACAAAACTCGTCCGCCATATTGAATCCGCCATCCTTAATTTCCTAATTTTGACAAAGGAATCATAACCTCCTTCCCTGAAAACTCTCAGATACCAATTTTGAATAGAATTGGATCATAATTACAAAACGTTCGCCATATTGGATCTGTCATCTTGAATTCACAAATTTTGTATGGAATAGGATCATATAGTTATTACAAAACTCGTCCGCCATATTGAATCCGCCATCCTTAATTTCCTAATTTTGACAAAGGAACCATATCCTCCTTCCCTGAAAACTCTCAGATACCAATTTTGAATAGAATTGGATCATAATTACAAAACGTTCGCCATATTGGATCTGTCATCTTGAATTCACAAATTTTGAGAAAAGAATCATTATCTCTGACTCCAATTAACCCCAAATACAAACTCGTTCGCCATATTGTATCCGCCATTTTGCCCAAGGAATCATAATGTCCGACCACAAAAACTTCCAGATACCAATTTTGAATAGAATCAGACCATAATTACTAAAGTCGTTGGCAATATTGGATCATAATCTCCGACCCAGAAAACTCCCAGATACCAATTTTGAATAAAACTGGGTTACAAAACTCGTCCGCCATATTGGATCCACCATCTTGAATTTTCAATTTGAAGAATAGTTCACGACCGACCGATTCTCAGACCTATCGAATGTGCATAACAATTTTCATTGAAATCAGCCAAGCCGTTTCAGAGGAGTTTGGCGACAAACAGCATCACAGGGAGAGAAAGAATTTCATATATTAGATAAAAGTAGTATATTTATTTATAGAGAAGAGGAGAGAAAATCCCAGACATTGAGACATTTGCATTTTGGAAATTGAATTGGGATAGAGTTGCTGATTAAAAATCTACTACCACCCTTGAAATTATTTTTCCATAATTCTATTGACTTCAATTCAAAAATAATACTATTTCTCAAAACTTTATTTGTCAAACACAGAGATTGAAGACTTGTCTTTGTCAAAGTGATTCAATCAAATTAATCATTTGGGAACTACAACCCATTCTGGATTACTTTCTTGTTCAATCTATTGCCAATCTTTCATGAAATACTGTTAGATCCCTATTTTCGTACTGTTTTTGATTTTGAGTTTTCCAGAACATTTCACATTTATTTCCAGACTGATGGTGCATCTGCTTGTTTAATTACAACAGAAGAGAAAGCTAAACAACTTGGCCTCAAACCAAAAGCATACCTTCGTAACTTCCTGTATGTATCTCAAGATCCGATCGACCAACTGCTTTTGGGACCCGCCTATGGTACACCACAAGTTCTCGAGAAATCTGGACTAACGCCCAAAGAAATCGACGTTTGGGAGTTTCATGAAGCATTTGCAGTAAGAATTCAAATACAATAACCACTATTTTGAAAAGGTTCCACACACTCTGAAATTGGAATTATTTCAAATCAAGTTTTTATTTGTTCAGAACCATTATTAATTACTCAGGTGAATCACTATTTGAACAGAATCAAACAAATGAGTGTGGCTATTTTCAGCCATTGCCATTTTCTGACGGTTGAGTTTCTAACTTTAATATTATTATCAAACAAAAAATGGGCTGAGGTGTGAACCTATAAAATAAAATAACATGAAGTAGGTATATCCTACACATAAAGGAAAAAAAAAATGCTGTGGAGTGTAGTGATGAGAGGGTTAGAGGATGATTTTGTGTTTTCTAACCCTCTCAAAAAAATGGCTACCAAACAATAAGATCAAATAGAATATGAAAAATAATTTGAATATTAAATAGAAATTGAACATTTCAAAATAAAATAATTATATATAGTGCCATATGAAGGGAAAAACAATTTACTCAGTAGTATGATCTAATCAGGAGCTGGTATTTATGGGGCCAAGCCAAAGACAAGAATCTCACTGAGCTTAGGCAAATACGCGACGGTGTTTCAGGCAAAAATTATTGCAATACATCATTGCGTGAAAGAATTGATAAGGCAAGAGTTTAAAGGCAAAACCATTGCAATCTATTCAGATAGCCAGGTGGCAATCAAAGCAGTCAACTCTATGCAAGTTAACTCAAAACTAGTATGGGACTGCTTAGAAACCCTAAACGCACTGGGCAGTCAGAACAGATGGACTCTAGCATGGGTACCAGCACATACAGGGTACGAGGGCAATGAAGAGGCAGACTCACTTGCCCGAGCAGGAGCAAACAAAGCTCTTAATGGCCCAGAACCCTTCTGTGGTAATGCAAAAGCTATACAAAAGACTAGTATCAAATCATAGATGCAAACTAAATCTCAAGAATGGTGGAACAACTCGCCAGGAATGAGACAGGCAAAAGAGTTTATTAAAAAACCATCGCCAACATTCACAGAATATCTACTAAGCCAGAAACGTTCAACTAGAATACTAGTGGGACTTCTCACAGGGCATTGTAGGCTCAACAAACACATGAGTACGATAGGTCTGACTGAAGAACTGCTGTGCAGGTTCTATCAAGAAGAGGAAGAAACAGCAGTACACATACATTGCCACTGTGAGGGCTTGTCAAGACTAAGGTTCCTTACGCTGGGTGAGGAAAAACCAGGAGCCCAGAGATACACAGGAGATCTGAAAGCTAGCCTATGGAGTCTCATAGAGAAGGCGGGGCTAGCCGAAGAACTCTAATCGATTTTGAGGGCAGACACAATAGATCTGAAAAGGTCGCAGTGTGGAGGAATATAATGATCTAATAGACTTTTAAATGATTATACTGAGGCATTAACTGTATTTGATCGGGGTTGTTCCATGTGTGAAAACATGATTAACTAAGTTCTGCCGTT